TTAAGGACCAAGGGTATAAGTACCCTTGGTTCGCGCCCACTTGGCTTGGTATTTTTCCGGCACGTGAGACAATCTGAGCGGGAGGTTTGACGTCGAGGTATAATGATGTGCACCGTCGATTATTGTCCGGTACACACCATTAGAACTCGACTGTCGATAAACCGGTTGTACTCAGAGAGGTTTTCTACAGTTTCCCTCTTCTCTGGCGAGAAAACCCATTGACGGGTGGTCCAGGCGTAATGCGAGTACTCCTAATAAAGTCGGCTGTAGACGCAAATTAGGTTAATATATAGAAAATTTCTAAAGTAGAATGGTTATGCTTAATCCAAAAAAAGTATTTCTCGGGGACTCTTGTCGAAGTGCGTAAGGCCAATAGGGCAGGAGTATAAACAATAAAAAAAAAAAAAAAAAAAAAAAATAATTAATTTTCCTTTATATTTTGATATTTAATATTTAAATAATTAATTTTTCTTTATATTTTGATATTTATAAACAAAGTTTGTAAGCACTTTTACTTGTTTCTCTATTTAATAAAATAGAGCAAATATTTTATTAAAATATTCTCAATTAAAAGCGTTTGTCAGACAATTGTGATTTCGAATTAAAAGTCGTTTGTAATTATTTATTTACTTCTTTTTCATGCATTCCCCTTTCTTTATATCTTTTTAATATTTTATAGAATAATAAATGAAAAATTAACCTAGAAACTACACGAAAAAAACATAAACTATAAACTATTCATAAAATTTCTATTTTTCATGAACAGGAAACTGAATTCCAACTTAATAATTTAATCATTAAATTTAATCTTCAGAGCTCAGATATTTTTAATAATTCAATAAAGTAAAAAAAATGTTTAATATATAAGAACAATTAGTTTCGATTTTTTATTTTACTTTCAATCAAATTATTTTCACATATTTATTCAAATGCAAATATAATCTTGAATTTTATATTATTTAAAGTACCGTTTTTATTGGTAATAAATAATTTATTTTATTTTATGTTATTTACTTTTATTATAAACTAGCAAATGTTGCGGAACGTGATATTCAATTTATTATTATTATGCAAATTACAAAATTTTCTATTTTCAAATATGAATTTTTGAATAATTTCAAATTCGAACTTTAAAAAAATTCAATTATTAACTAATTTTTACTAATTAATTATTCTTGTTTATTAACTTTGAAAATTTTAATAAAATTCTTCGCGCAAGAATTCAATTATTTTCATAAATAATAACATTCTTGGTGAGAATTCAATTATTTTTACAGATAGTAGATTTTTTTTCAAAAATTCAATTATTTTTAAACAAAATTTTTATAAAATTTCACGAACGAATACAATTATTTTCTAAAATTTTAATAACTCCTTCGAAAGAATTCAAATATTTTTTTAAATAGTAAATTTTTTACAAAAATTCAATTATTTTCAAAAAAAAAATGTCTCACGAAAGAATTGAATTTTTTTCTTAATTCGTTATAAAATCTTGGCAAAAATTCAATTTCTTTCAAAAAAATTTCACAAAAGAATTCTATTTTTTTCTTAATTCGATATAAAATATTTCAAAAGAATTCAATTATTTTTCAAAATTTTAATAAATCCTTCGAAACAATTCATTTTTATTTATAAATAAAAATTATAAAATAAAATTTATAAGTAAAATTCTTTGCAAATATTCAATTATTTTTAATACAATTTTAATAGAATTTCAAAAGAATTCAATTATTTTCTCAAATTTAATAAATTTTTCCAAGAAATTCAATTATATTTGTAAATAGTAAAATTCTTTGCAAAAATTCAATTATTTTTAATGCAATTTTAATAAAATTTGTCAAAAGAATTCAATTATTATCTAAAATTTTAATAAATTCTTTAAAGAAATTCAATTATATTTTTAAATAGTAAAATTCTTTGCCAAAATTCAATTATTTTTAATATAATATCAATAAAATTTCTCTAAAGAATTCAATTTTAAAAAATGTTTAATAATATTTTTTGAAAAAATTCAATTATTTTAAAAAATTTTTACAAGTCCTTCGAAACAATTCAATTATATTTATAAATAGTAAAATTCTTTGCAAAAATTCAATTATTTTCAAAAAAATTTCACGAAAAAATTCAATTTTTTTTATTCCTTATAAGAATTTTTAAAAAGAATTCAATTGTTTCTAAAATTTTAATAAAATTCAATAAATTCAATAATTGAATGTTCTATTTCAATTATTAACAAAACACAATTATTTTAAAACCTTGATAGAAATTGTTCCGAAAATTGAATTATTTTCAAAATTATTAATTAAAATTATTAAAGAAACTCTATTATTTAAAAAAAAATTCAAATATAAATTTATATAAATATAAATATAAATTTTATAAATTCAAAATAAATTTTTTGATAAAATTCTTTGCAACAATTTCGATGATTTTCAACACATTCATTTTAAAGTTGAAAATATTTTAAAAGAAAAATTATTAAAAAAAAGTTAGGAAACAAAACAGCAAACAACAACTAATTTCAAACTGCGAAAAGATTACTGGAATACAATGATTATTAATATAGAAGAAGATGATGATCCTAAAGTTTTGAAAGTTTAAATGAACGACGATATTTTTATTACTTATTGTAATTTATAAATTTAATTATTTTTTTAATATTTAATTTAATTTTTAAATCTTTAACGTCCGAGATATTTTGTAAATGAAGGCAAATAAAACGAAAACATTGGGACAACGAATAATTTATTTACTCCAAAGTTTCGAAATCTAAATGATTTCCTCTTCAGGGAGTTTATCCAAAAAATATACACAAAACTAAAATAATAATAAAAAATAATTTAACAATAATTAAAATAAAAATTGATGAATAATTATCTTACCAAAAATCAATAATTAAAATAAACGAATAAATCAGGGCATAAAGTTTAAGTCTTCGTTTATTTTAATTATTGATTTCTGGTAAGATAATTATTCATTAATTTTTATTTTATTTATTTATTGTTAAATTATTTTTTATTATTATTTTAATTTTGTGTATATTTTTTGGATAGACTTACTGAAGAGGAAATCATTTAGATTTTGAAACGTTGGAGTAAATAAATATTTTTATTCATTGTCCGAATGTTTTCTCCTTATTTTATTTATTTGCCTTATTTTATATTATTTATTATATTTATTATAATTATTTATTATAAATATAAATTGAAAAAAAATTAACTTCATAATAATTTGAATTTTCTTTCATTCTTTCATTTATTCACTTTTTCTGTCCCTCACACTCTGAAGTTGACTTTTGTTTATACTTTTGTTTTTTGTTAACTTTAAATAGATTGTATATTTTATTATTATTGTTATAATTATTTTTATTTTAAAATTAATTCAAAATTGAAATGACAAATAGAAATCATCAGCATTTTTTTCACTTCTTTTCATTAAAAGACTAAAATTTTGTTAAATATTATGTTTTGTCAAATTGAAATTTTGCAGATTTTTGTTCTTTATATACTTCTAAATAAATGATAATTGAATGTAATTGAATTCTTAAAAAGAATTTTATTATTCATGAAAATAATTAAATGTTTGCGTAGAATTATATTGAAAATTTTTGAAAATAATTGAATTCTTTTGAAAAATTTTATTAAAAAAGTAAATATTAAAAATCTATAAATTGAGGATAATTTTTAAAAACAATTGAAAATTTTGCCAAGAATTTTTTTAAAAAGTTTTGAAAATAATTGAATTCTTGTAAAGAATTTTATATCACATTTTTTTCAAATAATTGAATTCCTGGGAAAAATTTTATTATTTATGAAAATAATTGAATTTTTGTAAAAAAAAAAATTTACAATTTTTGTAAATATTGAATTCTCACGAAGAATTTTATTATTTAGGAAAATAATTGAATTCTTGCGAGGAATTTTAATACAATTTTTGTAAATATTTGAATTTCTTTCAAGAATTTTATGGAAAATTTTAAGGAATAATTTAATTATTTTGACTAATTTAATTAAAATGGTACTAAAAAGTATAATTGAAATTCTACGATTAGGTATTTTTCAATATAATTGAATTTTTAAAAAGAATTTTATTTTTTATGAAAATAATTAAATGTTTGCGTAGAATTTTATTAAAATTTTTGAAAATAATTGAATTCTTTTGGAAAATTTGATTAAAATAATAGATATTGAAAATCATTGAATGGAGGAAAATTTTTTTAAATAATTGAAATTAGGAAAAAATTTTTTTTGACATTTTGGAAAATAATTGAACTTTAGAGAAGAATTTTGTTAGTTATAAAGATAATTGAGATTTTTACGAGAATTTTCTTTTTGAAATTTTGTACATGGTTGAATTTTATAAGAAGAATTTTATTTATTTATTAATTTTTTTTTTAAACTAATTGAATTTATCCAATTTTTGTAATTTCTCCAAAATTGAACTTTTTTAGTGTTTTCAACAAAAAATTTTAAATTCTATTATTATTAAAATTGGTAATTTTATTTAAAATATGAAGTAAGAAGTTGCTAGTATTATTTAATAATTATTGATTTTAATTCTAATTCAAATTCTAAACTGATAAATATTATTAAATATTATTATTATGAAATATTCCTCATAGAGGAAGTATTTAATAATACTCGTGAAAAAATGAATTTGAAGTAAAAGATTTTCCATTTTATTTCAAAGAATAATAATGAGTGCATATACTTCAACCTCTTACGAAAATAAATAATTCAGTAGAAAGGAATATTTTTAGTTTTAAATTTTTCTCTTCCTTGGGAAATTATTTATGAAAATTCAGAATCGTATAAATATAGAAAGAGAGAGAGAGAGAGAGAGAGAGATGTACGTAATTTGCTTTTCGGAAGAAAATGAAATCAGAGAAAATTATTCCTCATCTCTATCTGAAATTATCGGATTACAAGGTTTTGGTTGGAAATTTGCTGGATTTAAGATGGAAGGTAATTAGATTTGATCCAATTAATTACAACTTTCAGGTCGAACTCACGACGCCACCTACACCCTTTACCGTCTCGGCGAGAGGCTCTCCTCTGGAGTGAGGCAATACGTTGAGACAGGAAGAACGGATGGTCTTGATACAGGGGGCGAATTTCCAAACATCTTACAATCGTTCATTGGCCCTTCAGTGCCACAGGGCGAAGGGACAAGTATTGCGAGAGCATTTCTTGATGGCAATCATTCTCTCATCAGCGTAGTGGCTCGTATTAATCCAAGTCCTGATTGGTTCATTGGGGTGGATTCTTTCCAACTCTGCGTCGAAGGCAACTGGGTGGATACAGTTACTGTTGAGGTAAGTCGAGAATTTTTTCTTCTTTTTTTTTTTCTTTCTTTTGTTTTTCTTTCACTCCACACTGTATCTTTCAGAAAAAAAAAAAAAAAAAAAAAAAGAAATCTCTAAAGATATCAAAAACTCGAGTCAGGTGTTGAACTTCGCTCACAGGCGCTAGTAATTAACAGGATATTGGAAACTTGTTCCTCCTTATTTACTAGCCAAACGTTACAAATTTTTTAGCTTTCCTCTATTTTTACTTTATTTATTTATTTTCCTAGTTTTTTATTTTTATCTCTATTTATTTTTCAGTTTGGTTTTTTATTTTTTTTTTTTATTTATAAGGCACAGGTCAGAGAAGTCAGGAAAAGTAAAATTGATCAGGGAAAAGTCAGATTTTTTTAAAAGTACTAGAAAAAAATTTAATTTTCAGAATTCATAAAAAAATTTTGAATTTTTGTGTCTTTTTTGTTTGCCTCAAAAACTATGAAATTACCACGAATTCTAATAGAAAACCTTCAATTTCAGACAAGAATTTATTTTTAAATAACATAATTCTTTAAAAAACTATCATAAAAAAATTACTCAGAATAAATATTTAAAAATAAATTGAATTTTAAAAGAGTTGCGTTCAAATTTTCATAAATAGATGAACTTCAAAAGGTTTCAATTTGAAATTTTAGAAAATTTCAATTTATGAATTAATTTAATTAGAAATTTTAAAGAACTTAGATTTTTGAAAAAATTTTAAAAGTATCCAAATTCTTCTGAAATTAGTTAATTTTTTTAATACATATATTTAACTAATTATTGAAAATACTGGATTTATAGAAGAATTTTAGTTAAAAACACTAAAAAAAATTGAATTTTGGAGAAGTTACAAATTACAATTACAATTATTTTCCAAAAATATTTTAACGAATTAATTATTTCAATTATTTTCAAAAATCTACAATTATAGTAAAAAATTTTAAAAGAATTCAATTATTTACAAATTTTTTATAAATTTCTTAGCAATAATTCCATTATTTTCATAAATAATAAAATTGTTTAGTGGGATTCAATTATTTTCAGAAATAATATAATACTCATCGCAGAATTTCAATTAGGTTTAATATAATTTTAATCAAATTCCTCGAAAAATGTAATTATTCTTAAAAAATTTTTTGAATAGTTTCAATTCAATTATTTTCAGAAATAATATAATACTCATCGCAGAATTTCAATTAGGTTTAATATAATTTTAATCAAATTCCTCGAAAAATGTAATTATTCTTAAAAAATTTTTTGAATTCGTCGAAAAAATTCAATTATTTAAAAAATTTGTTGATAAAATTTTTTATGAAAATTCAATTCAAAAAAATATTTAATTTTTCAATAAGTTATTTACTTTTGTATTTAAAGAATTGAATTTTCGTAAAATTTTCTTTAAAAAATTGATTTAAAAATGAATTTCAGTTAAAATTTTAGATAATAATTGAATATTAAAAGCATTATAGCGTGAATTTTAAGAAATAATTGAATTTTGAAAAGGTTTCAAATTTAAATTTATGAAATCTGTTTTTTTATACTTTTAATTTTGGAGTCTTTTTTGTTTGCCTTATAAACTATGAAATTACCACGAATTCTGATAAAAAAAACCTTCAATTTTTTCCATTTCTAACAATAATTTCTTTTTAAATAAATTAAATGTTAAACAACTATCATAAAATAAATAAATTATTTAATAAATAATTTTACATAAATATTTCAAAATTAATTCAATTGGAAATTTTAATGAACTTAAATCTTTGAAAAATTTTAATAATTCAAAATCTTCTAAAATTAGTTAAATTTGTCAACATATATTTAAAATTTAAATAATTATTAAAAATAATGGATTTATAGAAGAATTTTAGTTAACAACACTAAAAAAAATTGAATTTTGAAGAAGTTACAAATGATTGCAGAAATTCAAGTATGTTGAAAAAATTTTTGTCAAAATTTCAATTATATTTTTAAACAATAAAATTCTTCTCTGAAATTCAATTATTTTCAAAAATTTAAATAAAATTCTTTTCAAAATTTCAAAATTCCCTTTATTCAATGATTTTCAATATCTACTATTTTAATAAAATTTTCCAAAAAAATTCAATTACTTAAAAAGAAAATTTAATAAAATTCTACGCAAAAATTAAATTATTTTTATAAATAATAAAAATTTTACAGGAATTCAATTATTTACAAATTTTCTCTAAATTTCTTTGTAATAATTCAATTATTTTCATAAATAATAAATTTTTTCGCAGAAATTCAATTATGTTCAAAAACATTCAATAAATGCTCGTCAAATTTTCAATTATCATTATAAATAAATATTCTTCTTCAAAATTCATTTATTTTCAAAAATTTTAATAAAATTCTACGCAAACATTTAATTATTTCCATAAAATTATCCCTAATTTAATGATTTTCTTTAATATCTACTGTTTTAGTGTAATTTCACAGGAATTCAATTATTTACACATTTTTTATAAATATCTTCGCAATAATTCAATTATTTTTATAAATAATAAAATGCTTCTTAGAAATTCAATTATTTTCATAAATAATAAAATTTCATGGCAAAAATTCAATTACGTTAAACAATTTAAAATAATGCTCGTGAAATTTTCAATTATCTTTGCATTTTATCTCCGAAATTCAATTATTTTCAAATATTTAAATAAAATTCTTGGTAAAATTTAAATTATTTTCAATAATAATTATCCTTAATTCAATGATTTTAAATATTTTCAATTTTAATAAAACTTTCCAAACAATTCAATAATTTAAAAAAAAATTTAATAAAATTCTACGTAAAGAATTAATTATTTTCATAAGTAATAAAAAATTTAAAAGGAACTGAATTATTTACAAATTTTTTATAAATATTTTCGCAATAATTTAATTGTTTTCATAAATAATAAAATTCTTCTTAGAAATTCGCAATTATTTTCATAATTAATAAAATTCATCTCAGAAACAATTTTAATCGAATTTCTCGAAAAATATTATTTGTTCTTAAAAACTTTATTAGAATTCATTAAAAGAATTTAACTATTTAAAAATTTGTGGTTAAAATTTTTTATGAGAATTAAATTTTTAGAAGCATTCAATAAATTATTTATTTTTGTATTTAAATATTTGAATTCTCATAGAATTTTCTAGTAAAAATTTTTAAAAATCTAATTCCTAAGGAAAAATAATAATTAAATATTTCTCAAAGATATTTAAAAAGCAAGTTATTGATGTTTTCGAATAATTTTACTTTTGAAGAAATTCGTAAATAAATGTGTAGAAAATTTTTTTTTAATATTTAATAATTTTTATAGTTTTTACTTTTTTTTTTAATGTATTTTTTATTTTTCTATTTCTTTTTTAATTCCCTTTTTTTATTTATCTTTGTATTTTATTTTTCTTTGCAATTATTTTCATATTTTTGTTATTTATTTATTATTTTTGTAGGTATTTTCTTATTTATTTTTTGGTTATCTTTTTATTTATCTTTCTATTTATCTTTTTATTTATTTTTCTATTTAATAATAGTTTATCCGAGTTTTATTCAAATATAGAGAGAAAAATTGCGTTTTTATTTTTTTTCTATTTTCATTTCCAAGCTTTTTCGTGTATTACATATATATATATATATTTGTCTGTTTGCATAAAATATTTTTTACTTTTATTCAAATATTTTTTGTTTCAACACGATTGAAGGTAAATAAATGAATATTGTGATTCAATCGGTCCACACGGATTATAACACCTGCTCTCTAAATCTGAATATGCGAAATTTTACTCATTAAAAATTAAAAATTATCAATTCCAATCGTTATAATGTATGTTATAAATTTTTAAACACTCCTCTAAGTAGCAAAAGACCATTTTAGTCAGACAAAAGAATTTAGACGCTTGGGAATTTTCAGTAGAAAAGATCAATTTTAGTCAGACGAGTCATTTCATGTTAAAATATTTTTTAATTTTTATTATTAAAAAATTTTTTATTTTAAATAAAATTTTTTATTTTTATGAATTGATAAATTGTTAAATTAATTAATTAATATTTAATAATTAATTAATTCTAAATCGTTTAAAACAGACTTGATTAATTTTTAGAAACAGTAATATAGAAAAAAGTGGCTTTAAGACTAAAACAAAATGTATTATTATTATTATAATTTTTATTATTATTATATATAGTTTAAATAGTACATTATATTTACTTCAGACAAAATTGAATGGTCGTAATTAATAATGCGGTTATTGTACAGGAAATTGAATTGAATTTGAAATTTCTCAGTGTAAACTAATTTCCAAGTATATTCTCAAAGTTTGGACGATTAGAGTTGGACATGTTCTTCAGTGTTCAACGTACAGTTTCCTATCTACTTAATTGCTTACAATTTCTTTTAAAAACTTAAACCAATTTCACTGCCGAGTTCTCTCCGCATAATAACTATTAGATAACTGAATCGTTCTCTGAATTATTTAATTTCTAAATTTACAAATTAGTAAGTTTCTTACTTTATGGGTTTTCATTGGTAAAGTCTTAGAAAATAAGTTTATTGTTCTACCATTGTAAAGGTTCCATTAAAGACTACCCCACCGCCTTTACCTTATTTCTACGATAAGGAAACGAGAGAGTAGTCGAGACTAACAAATTTCTCAGTTTCCTTCTGTTCTTCCAACTTGTTCGAAATTCCAAAGATGTATAACGCAAAATTTCTATTTAAACATTTTAAATAAAAAAAAAAAGTTTTCAATAAGAATTTTATTTATTTAAAAATACAATTCTGGAAGAATAAAATTTTATTTTATTTTGCATTTATGAACACAGCAAATCGTGAGGTATTAAAAAGTGTTGCAGATTAAAATAACACCAAAAAAGATTAAAATAATCAATTTTGGTGTTATTTTTTACAATGAATGAAATTTTAGTTTATTAAATTTTTTTATAACTATAAAACATGAAGAAATCGATAACTCCAAGTCTTCGACTCGGAGTCATCGATTTCTTCATATTTTATAATAATTAAAGATGACCAAGTAATAAAATCATTATTTTATATTATAAGAATACTTCTTCAAAATTATTTTCATTAATTCAATTCAATTATTATTTTCAAAAATTTTTAACTACAATTTTACTTCATATATCTATTATTTTTAATAATTTTCGAAAAAGTTCTTTGGCAATTTTCAAATCCATTTCTTTACAATATTCAATTTCACGAAATTTCAATTATTCCTAAATTTTTTAATTAAATGGATGTTAGAAAATAAAAACTTCAAAATAATATAAAAGAAAATTCAATTAAACTTTTTCAAAAAATTTAATTTCAAAATTCAATTATTTCTAAAAATTCACGCTATATTGCTTTTAATATTCAATTATAATCTAAAATTTTAACAGAAATTCATTTTTATGAAATGAAAATCAATTTTTATTAGAAAATTCCGGAAGAATTTAATTATTTAAATGTAAAAGTAAATAATTTATTGAATAACTGAATGTTTCTCAAAATTCAATTCTCATAAGGAATTTTATTAACAAATTTTTAAATAAATGAATTCTTTTGTCGAATTTTATTAAAACTTGCATGAACATAATTACTTTTTTTCAAGGAATTCAATTATAATTGTATGAAAAATAATTGAAACGCTGCGATCAGTTTTATTATTAGTAAAAATAATTGAATTTCTGCAATAATTTGTAACTTCTCTAAAATTAATTTTTTTTTCTAGTGTTTTTAACTAAAAATCTTCAAATTTTAATTTGAAACTTTTTCAAAATTTAATTATTTTTAAAAATTCACGCTATATTACTTTTGATATTCAATTATAATCTAAATTTTTAACTGAAATTCATTTTTATGAAGTGAAAATAAATGTTTATTAGAAAATTCTACTTACTTTTTTTCAAGGAATTCAATTATAATTGAAAAAACTCTACTATGAGTTTTATTATTAGTAAAAACAATTGAATCCTTAAGAAGAATTTTATTAATCTTGAAAATAATTGAATTTCTGCAATAATTTGTAACTTCTCTAAAATTAAATTTTTTTCTAGTGTTTTTAACTAAAATTCTTCAGTAAATCCATTATTTTTAATAATTTTTAAAATAGTTCTTTGACAATTTTCAAATACATTTGTTTACAATTCAATTTTACAAAATTTCAATTATTCGGAAATTCTGCAATTAAATATTATATTGAAAAATAAAAGCTTGAAATAATTTCAATAAAAATCCTATTAAATTTTTAAAAAGAATTAATTCTACAGAAGTTTTTTGTCAAAAATATGAAAAATTAAGAATTTCAATGATTTTAGTTTGAAACTTTTTCAAAATTCAGTTATTTCTAAAAATCCACGTTATAATACTTATAATATTTAATTATAATCTAAAATTTGAACTGAAATTAATTTTTAAAACCATTTTTATTAGTGAATTCTACGAGAATTCAATTATTTAAAATACAAAAATAAATAATTTATTAATTTCATGTTTCTTGAAATTAATTTCTCATAAAAAATGTTATCAACAAATTTTTTAAATCATTAAATTTTTTGAACGAATTTTAATAAATTTTTTAAGAATAATTACATTTTTCGAGGAATTCGATTAAAATTGCATTAAAAATAATTGAAATTCTGCAATGAGTTTTATTATTTCATAAAATAATTGAATTCCTAAAAGAATTTTATTATTTATAAAAATAATTGAATCCTTGTAAAAATGTTATTATTTATGAAAATAATTGAATTATTGCGAAGAAATTTATAAAAAAATTTGTAATTAATTGAATTCCTGTAAAAATTTTTATTATTAATGAAAATAATTGAATGTTTGTGTAGAATTTTATTCAAATTTTTTTAATAATGGAATTCTTTTGGAAAATTTTATTGAAATAGTAGATATTGAAAATCATTGAATTTTAGAAAACTTTTGAAAATATTTAAAATTTTGACAAGAATTTTATTCAAATTTTGCAAAATAATTGAATATCAGAGAAGAATTTTATTATTTATAAAGAGGATTGAAATTTTGACGAGAATTTTTTTAAATTTTTGAACACAATTGAATTTAGTAACTGTGTTACTAAGTTAGTTAGTAAGTTAGTAACTAACTTACTAACTTACTATTCTCCCTGGAAAAGCTAAATTCGTTGAATTTTTCCAAATCGTTGACTTTGGTGTTTTATTTAAAGTAAAATTTCATTCATAGTTAAAAATAACACCAAAATAGATTATTTTAATCCTTTCTGGTGTTAATTTAATCCTAGAGGAATTAAACTGTTGCAGATTATTTTAATCCATTCTGGTGTTATTTTAACACCTTTACGTTTTACTGTGAAAGTGTAAATTACGAATTTTGAATTTCGAATATGAAATTGTTTCATATAGGAGATTATGGTTGACTTTATTCGTTCTAGTTTATTGGCTAGAAAATATCAATAACTGAAATGTTACTTTTTTCAAAAAAAGAGTTTGAAAACTATTTTTTTTTATTTTCTTCTTCCTCTTTCTTTTTTTTTATTAAAAAATCACTTGCAGAGGAAATGTTGAAATGTTTTTTTTTCCCTCTTATTTTTGTAAGTCAGCGATGTTTCACTGCTAAAGAAAATTACTTTTCAACTTTCGCTCGGGTTTCAATAAACGCGAGGAAAACTTGTGATCTCTTCACAGAACTTTATATACTCGATTTAAAACTTAAGGAGTTCGCTTTGAAAAGAAATTTGATAATAAATCTGTAAATGGCTTATCAATGAGAAAATTTAATTGCGTCTAAAAAAAAATTGATCTAATTTAATGAATCCTACATTCGTCTCTTATTCTCCACTTTCTCTGTAATGTAAATTAGAAGGAAAATTCGGAAAAGTTCTCATTACATCACAGAATCAAATTAAGACAAAAAAATTGAGAATCAAAACGTAGCAACGTTTTTATTCGTTTTTTTTTATATCCTTATAGAAAAATAGTGAAGGGAAAATTGAAAATTAAATTTTAAATAAAATTTAAATTTAAAATCTAAAAGTGTTAAATTTTGGATATAATACAAGAAAATAATTATATTTTTTGGAAAAGAAATTTTCTTTTTTTATTTTTGGAAAAAATTACAGGAAAAATGTTGGAATTTTGCTTTTTTACAGCTTGACCCCTTGGATGGCGGGACTGATAATGGCTTTACTTTCACGGCTGCCAATTGGCCGACTCAACCCCAAGGGATCGCCTACAGGATCACGTCGAGATATCCTGCACATCCTGCAGGAAGCTTTTTCTATCCGAATTTACCACGTCTGCCTCCAATTGCCACACTTACATTCACCAAGGTAAGCTCGCCACTTAAAAACATCTATCAAGTCTATATTTTTATTTATCCACACGAAAACTACTCTCACTAAATATTTCACCCTTCAAATTTAATGGACCAGTTCCTTCATTGCCTATCTCAAAAATTAATAGCAACTCTAAATAAAATCTTATGAAAAATTCATATAAAGTAGAAAATTACAATTTTTAGTTTATTATTTTATTAATATTGATTCTATTTCTTAACTCCCTTTCTTTTAAAACGAGTTTTTCCCCTTTTTTCATGTATTTAAATAAAATTTTATTTATATTTATAAAACACAAAAATAATTACATTTATAAAAACAGAAAAACACCAACAATTATATAAACACAAAGACATTTATATTTATATAAATACAATCGAATTACGCACACACTAAATTTCTGTATTTAAACTACATGATTCGGAAGAATTGAATTTCCCTTCATTCAGTTGAATGTTTCCTATTTGAATTTTATCCATTTTGAGTGTATTTGAATTTATTTTATAGATGAATACTATGTGCTTGTTGCACTCTATTCAGTAAAGCAGCGCAGTGTCGTCTTAAGCTTTCTCTGGATTTTCCTTAAAGTGCATTACACTTCTGTCTATTTCAAAACGTCTTGAGCTTAAGACAATCTAGTTTCTAGGTCGAATTACCCACCTCTGATTTCTGCTCCATCTCCCTTTTTGGGATTATATATATATCTCGAAATTAATCCAAAATTGTTGTTAAAATCTCATTCCCTAAGGATACTAACGTTCTATTCTGTATATATAATGACTATTAGGGTGTTTTCTTTCTAATTATTTCGACTCGCTCGACTATTTCTACTTTTGTATCTCCTTAAATTTTAATAAAATACCCTAAAATGTATAAAATCATAAATTTTCTCCCATTTTCCCCTTATTTTTACGAAAAACTCGTAAAATTAAATTAACACCAAAAAGGTTAAAATAATCAATTTTGGTGTTATTTTTTACAATGAATGAAATGAATGAAATTTTAGTTTATTAAATTTTTTTATAACTATAAAACATGAAGATATCGATAACTCCGAGTCTTCGACTCGGAGTCATCGATTTCTTCATATTTTATAATAATTAAAGATGACCAAGTAATAAAATCATTATCTTATATTATAAGAATACTTCTTCAAAATTATTTTCAGTATTTCAATTCCATTATTATTTTCAAAAATTTTTAACTACAATTTTACTTTATATCAATTATTTTTAATAATTTTCGAAAAAGTTCTTTGGCAATTTTCAAATCCATTTGTTTACAATATTCAATTTCAGGAAATTTCAATTATTCCTAAATTCTTTAATTAAATGCATATTAGAAAATAAAAACTTCAAATAATATAAAAGAAAATTCAATTAAACATTTTTAAAAAAATTAATTTCAAAATTCAATTATTTCTAAAAATTCACGCTATATTGCTTTTAATATTCAATTTTAATCTAAAATTTCAACTGAAATTCTTTTTTATGAAATGAAAATCAATTTTTATTAGAAAATTCTACAAGAATTTAATTATTTAAATACAAAAGTAAATAATTTATTGAATAATTGAATGTTTCTCAAAATTCAATTCTCATAAGGAATTTTATTTAAAAAATTTTTAAATAATTGAATTCTTTTTGTCGAATTTTATTAAAACTTGCATGAACATAATTACTTTTTTCAAGGAATTTAATTATAATTGTATGGAAACTAATTGAAACTCTACGATGAGTTTTATTATTAGTAAAAATAATTGAATCCTTAAGGAGAATTTTATTACTCTTGAAAATAATTGAATTTCTGCAATAATTTGTAACTTCTCTAAAATTAAATTTTTTTCTACTGTTTTTAACTAAAATTCTTCAATAAATCCATTATTTTTAATAATTTTTAAAAAAGTTCTTTGACAATTTTCAAATACATTTGTTTACAATTAAATTTTACAAAATTTCAATTATTCGAAAATTCTGCAATTAAATATATATATTGAAAAATAAAAACTTGAAATAATTTCAATAAAAATCCTATTAAACTTTTAAAAAGAATTAATTCTACAGAATTTTTTATCTAAAATATGAAAAATTAAGAATTTCAATGATTTTAATTTGAAACTTTTTCCAAAATTTAATTATTTCTAAAAATCCACGTTATAATGCTTTTAATATTTAATTATAATCTAGAATTTTAACTGAAATTTATTTTTAAAATCATTTTTATTAGTAAATTCTACGCGAATTCAATTATTTAAATACAAAAATAAGAAATTTATTAATTTCATGTTTCTTGAAATTAAATTCTCATAAAAAATGATATCAACAAATTGTTTAAATCATTAAATTCTTTTGACGAATTTTAATAAAATTTTTATGAATTTTTTCGAGGAATTCGATTAAAATTGCATTAAAAATAATTGAAATTCTGCAATGAGTTTTATTATTTATGAAAATAATTGAATTCCTAAAAGAATTTTATAATTTTTATAATTGAATTATTGCGAAGAAATTTATAAAAAAAAAATTATAAATAATTGAATGTTTGCGTAGAATTCTATTAATTTTTTTTTTTTAATAATTGAATTCGTTTATAAAACTTTATCAAAATTGTAGATATTTTTATAAATAATTGAAATTTTGACAAGAAGTATATTTCAAATTTTGTAAATAATTGAATTGGGGAGAAAAATTTTATTATTTATAAAGATAATTGATATTTAGACGAAAATTTTCGAATATTTTTAAAAAAATTAAATTTTGGAGAAGAATTTTATTGTTTTTAAAGATAATTGAAATTTTGACGAGAATTTTGCAAAATTTGTGAACTAAATTGAATTTCTGTGACAAATTTTATTATTTATGAAAATAATTGAATTATTGCGAAAAAATTTATAAAAAAAATTTTGTAATTAATTGAATTCCTGTAAAAATTGTTATTACTTATGAAAATAATAGAATGTTTGCAAAGAATTTTATTCAAATTTTTTTTAATAATGAAATTCTTTTGGAAAATTTTATTGAAATAGTAGATTTTTGAAAATCATTGAATTTTATAAAACTTTTGAAAATAATTGAAATCTTGACAAGAATTTGATTAAAATTTTGCAAAATAATTGAATATCAGAGAAGAATTTTATTATTTATAAAGAGAATAGAAATTTTGACGAGAATTTTTTTTAATTTTTGAACACAATTAAATCGTTGACTTTAGTGTTTTATTTAAAGTAAAATTTCATTCATAGTTAAAAATAACACCAAAATAGATTATTTTAATCCCTTCTGGTGTTAATTCAATCCCAGAGGGATTAAACTGATGCAGATTATTTTAATCTAATTCTGGTGCTATTTTAACACCTTACGTTTTACTGTGTATGAAAAAATACGAAGATTAATAATATAGTTAATATTTATTATTTATTTAAAAACGTTCGAAGAAAAAATTTGATCAGCTAAAGTTAGTTTTAGTTAAACCAAACAAATGTTTGCTGTTAAAATTGTATAGCAATTCATTTATTTGACTTAAATCAAAATTTGGTTATTTTAAACAAATTTTTTTCCGCGTGCAATATATTGTGAATCATATTCTTGCCACTGGAATTTTCATTGTCGCCATGAATATAAAACTACGTCGACACTAAAAAAATTCATATAAAAGTAGACGAAAAAATGTGCGTTTAAATGTAAAAGAAAAATCGAAAATGATTTTAACCTCGAGTGTAATTTTACAGCCAGAGGGGAGGAGGGAGGGAGGGAGGGTGTCTTGATGGAAATTTCGTTGCCTCTGAGTGGCTTTTTAGATCCTCACTCCAGGGGACATATTGAAGATTTAAGAACATTTTTCTCTCTTCCTTCTTTTTGAGATATTGCGATAAGAGAATGAGAGAGAGAGAGAGGAGAGGGGGGTTTCTTTTTTTATATACTTTTAGGTAATGGGCCATCTGGCTCAGCGCGCACAGAGGTAAAATGAAATTACGAGCGGATAGAAATGACTCGTCAAATGAACCGAGATCGAATGGCGAGAAAACTTTGCAGGTAATCTCGTGGTGAGTGAAATGTTCGGTTGGTTGGCCGATCACTGCGCCCTGGTGAATTGGCGAAGGGTGGCATGGCGGTTGGTTGGTCGGAATGGACGGATAGTGTCTCTCGGGGGGAGCGAAGCAAGAGAGAGAGAGAGAGAGAGAGAGTGCAGGAATGGGGGAAAATGGAGTTTACAGGGATGAGAATCGCTGAGGGCGAGAAAGCGGCATGAGATAATTAGCAAGTTAACACGGCCGGCTGGATTTCGAATCTAGTTATACTGTGCCACTGGAAGGTGCAGTTGCTTTTGATAGGCGCTCTGAGCAAGAAGCCACTCTCTCTCCCTTACTCTCTCTCTCTCTCACTCTCTCACTCTCTTGATCCCGGGTAAATAAATATCGACGTGTCACTAAAGTGTAACATACTCCCAATTGCGAAACTAAGCAAATGCATTTATTCAAGAGCTCGATCCAGATTGTTTCAAATTCAAATATATATATATATACCCTCTCCTAATAAGAAGTTTCTCTTGACAAACTTTTGTTAAATTCAAAACTACTTTTCACTTCCATTAGTCAAACTTTAAATAACAGCCTCGGGATGAAAACATCAAAATATAAATTACTATTCAAGAGATAGAAATAAAAAAGTAATTTACAAATTAAAGTCTTATAAAATTTTAGGCTTCGCACTCGATAATTACTGTTGACTACATTTTTAACTATATATAACAATGAAATGATTTAAATCTTTCATAAAATTATTTTTATAGTAGTGGAACTTATTTTGAGTAGTAAGTCAAACAAAAACTATAAAAATTTGAGGAGATAAAAAATAATTGTCGTTTCAGTAGTAAACATTATTTTTAGTCAGACAAAAATAGTAAAAATCCAAATTGATAGGAAATAATTGTAGTTTCAGTAGTAAACATTATTTATAGTCAGACAAAAACAGTTATATATAATAATGATAAAAATT